ATCAGTTTGGTGGGGAGTAGATGTGGTATGATTTTATATATATATAGTATATTTTATTAGTATGGATTATGAATCATTCATAAAGTTTGGGAAGCAACAAGCTGTTGCCAATGACAACTAAACGCTGGCTGTTGCTTTGCTAGTATGTGTTTGTAAATCAAAGAGAGATTTTAGTTGAATTTTTTTTTTCCCCAGGCTTTAGAAATGCTTTTCCTAGATGTAACCTTTTTATCAGCTCTTTGGGGTTTATTTTCTGAAAGCATATAATGTTCACCCTAGGACAAGAAGGATTCTTGCATTTGAAATGTCTGCAAATAAAATTCCTACTCCTTTTTTAATTCCTGTTCATATGAATATTTTACTATGCTTAAAGTAGAACTAAAGGGGAACAGTTTTCTGTTTTGGATAGAATAAGGAAGGATTATAATCCTTTGTAGTTTTCCATTAGGGAGATTTCCCATCACTTCCTATCCATAGCCAAAACAATAACTGAGGGGACATTTCTCCAAATTGAGAGAATCCCTGGTTGTTACTAGGGTCACCAAAACTAATGTCATCATTGAAATATTTCCCCTTTATTCTTCTGGGTACCCAAAATTTTGCTTTTTTATTTATATTTTTACTTTTGGTGAAAATTGGTACACAAGAACAAATAGAGAGCGTGAATCTCCCTAGCAGTGGAACAAACAGTAGTAAAAACCTGATGGGTGTTCTGATCCCTCTTCAAAATAATAAAAAAAAAAATCCTCAATTTTGAGTCCTCAGTTTTGTACTAGTGTCTGAAGGCGATTGGCCGTTTCTCCCTCATGGAGAAACTCACCCTTGGCTTAACTAGTTTTATTATTTTTTCTTTATTATTTTCTTTCTTTTATCTTCCAATCCATCAGTCAAGCACTCAACTGCCTTCTACTGTCAGCATAGAAGCAGTGTATCCAGATCTGTGCAACCTCGGTATAAACTTGGGAGACTTACATGGACCCCATGCTGTGAGGACAGCCTGTATTGTTGCTTCAGGCACTGGATCCTGCTTGGGTGCTCACCTTGTAATTGGTGCATTGCATTAAGTTAGCTGCAGGGTGCTATAAAGGGATAGGGCCATAGTCCATCACTTTGAAACCCAGTCCCTGAAAACCCAGTCGTGTGTATGCCCACAGTGATGACTTATTTACAATCCCGCATTGTGGACAGATAATAGTCACCCTGTATCTCTGACCATTTACTGTATAATAAAAAAAAAGGCTGTTTGGAATGGTATATGTATAAAATTCTGTGCTCAGGTGCAAAAATAAACAAATTAAATAAAAGTAAACAAGTGATTAATAATATAGAACTATGCAATCTCCTACACAAACAAATCTAATGTGAACAAAAAAGTCCACCATGAAAAGTGTAAATCCAAAGTCGCCCTCACAAAAATGAGAAAAGGAATCTTACAAATTGATGTGAGATGAAAATGAGCAAACTAGACGCTTCCACCAATCCACCACCGTGCATAAGATTGGACCCTTACCAAATGGTGCGACCACCGGTTAAGGTATGTTCAAAAAGGCTTCAAATCAATCTACGCTTGGGGTATGTATATCCTGAATAGCATAGCTCCTCCCGACATAGCATCTCAAAAGTATCGATGGAGATAGAAACACCAGGGACTATCATAATGTAGTAGGTTTATAAAACTTGAAATTTATTAAAAGCAAAAGCTACTCACAAAAATGATAAATAGGCAGGCAGTATTTGAACACTATGCAATGTATTTCCTCCTTCGCTCTTGTTGTGCACAACTCCACTTCTGGGTCTCGATCAGCGCAACAATGTCACATCCTGTGGCTTTATACCTTTTTGAAATGCTTTTCATTTGCAGGGAAAGAAGGGAATAAAGGGTGAACAATATGAATCTGTATTTCAGGATTGTTAGACAGGAAATAAAACTGTTGCCTTCAGCTCTAATTGTTTGTGTAGATGCGCTAAAACATGTCCTGGAACAAACTTCCAGATTGGCTCTAATCTCCATCCCCATACGCAGAATTGTATGGTTTAAAGCTTGGACAGCTTAAGCCTTCAAAAAGTGCCTCACGCGTATGCCTTTCCAAGGAGGACATCTTTTCAGTGAGGCACTGACCAATTTATTAAAGAGGTCACAGTTGGGAAGGTTTTACTTCCACAGTGGAAGATTCTAAAACCACTTCCTTCAGGAGCCCCTTGCTCTTCAGAACGCAGAGTACTTGTCTGCTATACCCAGGCTTCGACTTCAAAAGCTAACCGCTTTTGCTTTTTAGCACAAGATTTGGCCCACCAAGTCTATCAAGCCTTCCCCAAAGCTGGTTTCACAATGATGGGGCATTCTCAGTCCTAAGTATGAGGGGCGTCTTACAATTTGCCTCTCTGAGGCTTCAATCGTTTTGCTTCTAAAAGGTACAAAATAGATTTCAAAACTCTACCACCTCACCGTTTTCTTCTTTCATATCAACCAAACACTGCCCAAGGACTGTCAGATTTGCTAAATGCCCTGAAATACTTCTTGTTGCAGGACGTTGTTGTGCCAGCACCACCACAAGACAGGTTCATAAGTTTCTGCTCAAATTTGTTCACAGTACCAAAGCCAAACTGAGTTATTTGTCCTGTTCTGGATTTAAAATTCCTTCAAATTCCAATATTTTGCATGGAATCTGCAAGGTCAGTAATTGCCTCTCAAGTCAAGAGCATCTGTGAACATCCAGGATGCCCATCTATATTTTCCCACCTCATCAGCACTCTGTGTGTTAAATTGGAAGTGGTTGTCTGCCAATGCGTCACACTACCCTTTGTCCTATTCTCTGCCCCCAGAATATTCACAAAGGTTTTTGTACCTCTGCTTGCCCTCCTCAGAATTCAAAGCATCCAAGTCGCAAGCTATCTAGACAATCTTCTGAAGGACTCCTCTCTTTTGCAGTTATGCGAAAATGTCCATGAGAACCGTCAGATGCTCCAGGCTTTCGGCTGGGTGATCAGGTCTCTGCTCTAACCATTCTCTTTCAAAGGCCCCTGGCATCACTCTCCCTTGTAAAAGCCTTTTCTTCAATGTGTATCTCATTTTAAGCCTCCTTTACCGCACCCTATTCTTTCTTAGGTTCAAAGAGTAGTTTTTGCAGTGTAGAGAGAACCAAATTGAGATCCTATCAGTGATATTTACCTAAAACAGGGGTACTGAATTAAAACTCATGGAGGTCCAACCAGTAAAATTTTCTTCATACAGAGGTCTGAACTGCTTTTTTTTTTTTTTTTTTTTTCAATATCAGCCCTCTCTGCTGCGTATCACAATCCCTATACTTCAGTGTCCTCAGTCTCTCCCCCCCCCCCTCCCCCCATATGTCACAGTCCCCAACTTCACATCAGTTTCACCTTCACAGTAGTGTTCTCAGGCCCCCTGCACATCAACCCCACCCACCCCCCTTACAGTACACCCCATTATTTTCAGCAGTCAACAACCCCCCCTTCAAATTGTGATATATGCCTGTAACGATTCCTCCCTCATTTCCATTCCTTCTCCTAACACATTCATATAAATACACATTTTAGTTGTTCTTTACATTTTTCATTATAACCCACTGTATATCCATCTGGTCCGGGGCTCCTTCCTGCTGCTGTACTCTTCAATGCTATACTAATTTCCTGATGTGAGATTGGTTTTTTTCTATGGCTGTTAATATTTCTTCTTCTAGTCTTGGTAGGCCTGCCTCCTTTAGATATATCTGTATTTTTTCCCTTTTCTTTCTCCCTCTGGTTCTTTAACCTCCCTAGCGGTTTTCCCAAGTCTAGCTCAGGTTTAAATCTAGCTGTCAAAAGCGGTAACCTCGAGCTAGACTCGGGCTCACCGCAAACCAAGTACCTGGTCACGATCCGTGTCCCGGGTTCTGAGCCGCATGCAGCCATCCCCTCCGTTCGTCCACAGTCTCCTTCCCTGTTTCCCTGGTATCTGACGCTGATCAGTGTGATCAGCTTGAGTCTGCTGTCCTGTGCCGTTGGGCGGGGCTTGCGGGAGTTATAAAAATAGATCAGTGTCAAAATAAAGTGTTACTCTAGTGCATACTTTGTAACTTTACCTCAGATATTTCCATAGTGCAGTTTTTCAGTTTCTGTGACTAAAAACGATTTTGCGCTCATGGTTTCCAAAAAGCACCTCGCTAACGCTAAAGCGGTTTATGATGAGCTAATGAACAGCGACAGTGAGGAGCTACTTAAATTGAGCGATAGCGACTCGTGGCGATTTGTCTTCACACCGAAAGTGAAGACAGCGGCGAATCTGAGATTGACGTATGTGATCTGCGCATGTGGTGCACTATTGATTGCAAAACGACAGTGCCACCAAGATTTCCATTTACTGGCGCACCTGGGATGAAAATCCACGTTGAAGGTGACAACCCCTTGACGTACTTGGTATTGTTTCTGACCGATCAGGTTATTGAAATTATCGTAACGGAGACAAATGGGTACGCAACGCAACAACTAGCTGTTCTACACAGCTGATTTTCACGAATCAGAAAGTGGGAAGCTGTCACCAAAGAGGACATTTGGCTGTTTCTTGGCCTAATTATTCTGCAAGGAGTGATGGGGAAACCGCTGCAGAAGTGGTACTGGACTACAAACAAAATGCTCGCCACACCGTTCTTTGGCACCGTCATGTCAGAGTACAGCTTTTCCCTCATTTTTTGCACTTCGCAAATAATGAGGATTTTGATGAATCAACTCATCCGGCTCCCAAGCTAAAATAAATTTAGGAAGTCTCCCAAATAATTGTATGAAATTTCCAGCAGAGCTATGTGCCAGAGAGAGACATCAGCATAGACGAAAGTCTAAAAGCCTACAAAGGAAGGCTCAGCTGGATACAGTACATCGAGTCCAAGAGGGCACGATTTGGCGTCAAATCCTACCTGCTGTGCGAATCCTCTACTGGCTACATCTGGAACACAGTTATATACATCGGCAAAGGCACAAAATTTGATCCCAAATACAGCAACTACGGAATGGCAACATCTTCTGTCCTGTCACTGATTGAGCCTCTGCTAAACCAAGGATACTGTGTAACGACAGACAATTTTTACACCTCTTCAGAACTTTACAAGGTTTTTCACCCCCAAACGGATGCATATGGAACCATTCGGGATAACCGGCACAACCTGCCATCGATGTTTGTAAAAAACAAACTGAAGTCGGGAGAATTAGTTGCCTGGCAGAAAGGCAAAACAATTGCCCTTAGATGGCAGGACAAGGATATATGCCTAATGAGTACCGTTCACAATGCCTCCACAGTGATGGTACAAACAAAAGGTGGGAAAAACATTCAGAAGCCGCAGGTTGTCATTGACTACAACAGCACCATGGGAGGTGTGGACAGCGCTGACCAAGCTATGACTTTCTATCCAGCTATGAGAAAGCAGCAGAGGAAATACTATAAAAAGATTTTCCGGCATCTTCTGGAACAGTGTTTGTGGAATGCCTATATTCTGTTCCGCAAAAACAGTGACAAGCCTGTGGTTCATGCAGACTTTATCTGGAAAGTGGCAGAATCCATTTTCCTCAAGCATCAAATGCCAGTGTGTGTGGGTAGATCCGGACGACGTGCTGTGGGAGTTGTCAACCCAGAACGTCTGACTGGACGTCATTTTATGGACCACATCTGTCAAGGTCCTATCTTTTCCCTGAGGTTATGTTACTCCATGTGCTGGCGTCCATTTTGGATTCTGCTGTGCATGGTGGGAATCCTTTTATGCCTTCAGGTCTCTGAGGTCCATCCCCCAGAGGGGTGTGGCTGATGACATATAAGCCTGTGGTCCGCACATGCTCTTTGCACTTGTGGCTTGTGTCTTTGTGTTGCTATTACTCTGTTCTGACTCTCGTGACTCTCCTGGTATCTGATTCGGCTTGTACTCGACTATTCTTTGTATTCTCCTTTGATCTGACTCTCCGTTGCTGAACCCGGCTCGTGACCTGTGATTCTCGTCTGCTGTCCTGTACTGTTTTGTCCTATTGTTGTTGACCCGGCCTGTCTGACTACTCTTTTGTCTCTTCCACCTGCTACACACCATTGGCGGCGGCCATTACCGCAGCTGGGGTGTCTCAGGGGCCGTGACCTGGTTCCTGGCTGCGTCAAGTCCATCCCCACCATCAGGGGCCCTGGTGAAGGGCAGCCTGGGACTTAGACTCCGCGCCCTGAGGGACTTCGGTCTGTGGGTGGTGGTTGTCGTCAGCCAGTGTGTTACATTGTTAGGCCTGCCTGTCCGTTCCTCGGCCCCTGCCCTGACAACATCCCAACAACCCAGAAAAAGGCAGCACCTACACAGATGTGTGTGGTATGTTGCTCTCGGCGAGATGAGAGTAGAAAAAAAAAATCCGCAAGGAAACGAGGTTCCACTATCCTGATTGCGATGTCCCGTGTTTCAAAATTTACCACACCTGTGATGTTTTCTAAAACAAAATGCAGTGTCTATATAATATTGTTTGGACAGAGTTCCGTGTGTTTTTGATTTTGATTACATTATTTAATTTATTATAATATTTTTTATTATATTTTAATTTCCAATTTAATTTATTAAACTTTTATTGCATTCAGGATGTCTACTAGACATTTGTTTAAACAGATTTCAGTAAGTTATTCCTAAGAATTACAGGCCTACAATAAAAAAAACATATTTTAATTGAAAACAATGTACTGCTTTGAGCACAGAAATACTGACATAATCATACTGCTAGGGAGGTTAACCACTTGCCTACTGGGCACTTATACCCCCTTCCTGCCCAGGCCAATTTTCAGCTTACAGCGTTGTCGCACTTTGACAATTGCGTGGTCATGCAACATTGTACCCATATGAAATTTTTATCATTTATTTCACACAAATAGAGCCTTATTTTTGTGTAATTTGATCGCCACTGGGTGTTTAATTTTTTGCGCTATAAACAAAAGAGAAAATTTTGAAAAAAAAAAGTTTTTGTTTCTATTATAAAATTTTGCAAACAGGTAATTTTTCTCCTTCTCTGATGTGCATTGATGAGGCTGCACTGATGAGCTTGCACAGATAGGCGCACTGATGAGCTGGCACAGATAGGCGGCACTGATGAGCTGGCATTGATGGGGAACCACTGGTGGGCATCACTGGTGGGTGGCATGATGAGCTGGCACAGATAGGCGGCACTGATGAGCTGGCATTGATGGGGAACCACTGGTGGGCATCACTGGTGGGTGGCACTGATGGGCACTGATTATCAGTGCACTGATGATCAGTGCTGATCACTTTTGACAATTGCCAGTTCTTGGCAGTACTTTTCCTCACGCTGTGACAGCATGAGGAAAGTGCAGCTGATAGCCGGCAACAGTGTTTACCCGGTGATCTGTTGTGTCATTGTGACACAGCTGATCACATGTTAAAAGGCCAATGTGATTGACCACTTTACTGTATCACGTGATCAGCGGTGTCTGTAGGACACAGCAATCATCGGCGGCGCCGGGTGTGCGCTGCTGGGGGCACACAGGGGGCGTGTTCTGGAATGACGTCCATGGAAGTCATCCCAAAAGTAGACAACTGCGCAGTAGCCATCTTTCGGCTATAGCGTGGTAGGGAAAAGGTTAAGGGTTATTAAATTTTGCTCCATATAGACTACTATAATATTTTTGAAGGACATTTAGCGATATCAGTGGTTAAATGTACCATTTCTCCTTTTTTTAGCTTTAATTTTTTCTATAAAATTCCTCAGTTTCTCTTCCCTTAATTTCCTTGATGGATATTTTCCAGGTCTATTCCCCCACTGATATCTTTCTTATGAGACCGTATTAAAGATCCTCCTAATTTCTAATTCCATAAGAACTTTCAAAAACTCTTCTCTTTTTCAAGATTATCTTCTGTTGTTATATCTGTAAATTTCTTTTCATGTATTTGCTCTAAGTTTTATTCTATAGTTCCTCTGTTTTTATTAGCCTTATTTTCTTCCCCCTTTTCCTCTCTTTTTTTTTTTTTTTTTTTTTTTTTTCGCCCCGATCAAGATCAGAATTCCCCTAATAAATGCCTTATGTGCTTCCCATGCTATAACAACTGATATTGAATATTGGACAAAAAATATTTCTCAATTTCCTTCTTTACTTTTATTTCTGTTGCAAGATCTTGTATAAAGTGTCTCATTTAATCTCCACATATTCTATTTCCCCCCCCCCCCCGTAATCTCATTGTGACATTGGGCATGATCAGATGAACATTATCATGTCGCATGTGCCAAAGAAAAAAATGTATAGTCTTTCTTTTGGATGTTTAACTCTCCAGGTATCAATCAGTTGACACTGATGTAGCTTCTTTTTAACAGATTTTAAACTATTATCGCCCTCCTCCAGGGGCGTATCTGCCGCGAGGCAAACAAGGCATTTGCCTTGGGCGGCACTTTTTTCAGGGGTGCAGCACCGCCCCCAGGCAGAAGGGACCAGTGCTGTTGCTGCAAAGCACTGTGCTTGGCCGGGGGGTGTGCTCGGGCGGGTTCGTGTGTTTGGTCAGGGGCGAGGAAACAGAACCTGTCAGCTATGGAGCCGGCTGGAGAGAGGGCCGGGCGGCACATAGAGGACCATGCATTTCTCTCTATGCTCTATGTGCCGCCAGTCCACCTCCCCTATCCATCTCCCGCATATGGTCAGCTCCTGTATGCTTCTCCCCACTGCCGCCCCCCCTCCAGCACTGCAGGGGATCTGTCAGCATATGCAGTCCCCAGTGCTGACAGTTTCCCCCCTTCCCCCCCCTCACCTCACACAGACAGGAGAGGAGAGAGAAAGCTACCCCTCCTTCTCCCGTCCTCTCCTCCTGTGTCTGCCCCGCCCACACTTCCAGCCAGCCTTGTGTATTCTTTCCCCCTTCCCACTCTCCTCTCCCCCCCTCTCTCCCCCCCTCTCTCCCCCCCCTCTCTCCCCCCTCTCTCCCCCCTCTCTCTCCCCCCCTCTCTCTCCACCCTCTCTCCCCCCTCTCTCTCCCCCCCCTCTCTCTCTTCCCCCTCTCTCTCTTCCCCCTCTCTCTCCTTCCCCCCTCTCTCTCTCCCCCTCTCTCTCTCTCCCCCTCTCTCCCCCTCTCTCTCTTCCCCCCCCTCTCTCTTCCCCCTCTCTCTCTTCCCCCCCTCTCTCTTCCCCCCCTCTCTCTTCCCCCCCTCTCTCTTCCCCCCCTCTCTCTTCCCCCCCTCTCTCTTCCCCCCCTCTCTCTTCCCCCCCTCTCTCTTTCCCTTCCCCCCCCCCCCTCCTCTCTTCCCCCCCCTCTTCCCCCTCTCTCTCTTTTCCCCCCCTCTCTCTTTCCCCCCCTCTCCGACTTTCCCCCCCTCTCTCTCTTTCCCCCCCTCCTCTCTTCCCCCTCCCCCCCCTCTCTCTTCCCCCCCCCCTCTCTCTTCCCCCTCCCCTCTCTCTTCCCCCTCCCTCTCTCTTCCCCCCTCCCTCTCTTCTCCCCCTCCCTCTCTCCACCCCTTCCCCCCTCCCCCCTCTCTCTTCCCCCTCCCCCCTCTCTTTCCCCCTCCCTCTCCTCCCTCTCTCTCCCCCCCCACCCTCTCCCCCCCCCTTCTCTCTCTCCCCTTTCTCCCCTCTCTCTCTCCCCCCCCTCTCTCTCTGTGTCAATGGGAGGAATAGTGCCCCATCATTGATGTCAGTGGGAGGAAGTGCCCCATCATTGGTGTCAGTGTGGAAGTAATAGTACCCCCCATCGTTGGTGTCAGTGGGAGGAATAGTACCCCCATCGTTGGTGTCAGTGTGGAAGTAATAGCGCCCCATCGTTGTCAGTTGGCAGAGCTCTAATAGGAAGGGGTGGGGTTTACAGATGAAGGGGTGAATCTTAAAACAGGAAGGGGTGGGACAAATTTAGATGCTGGGGGGGGGGGGTGCCTGATTTTAGTCTTGCCTAGGGCAGCACAAAACCAAAATACACCACTGGCCTTCACACTGCATACCTGAGGATGCATCTATCAATGCAAACATTAAAATCTCTCCTGCCACAATCAGGTTACCCCTCTTAAAATCCTTAAGTTTTTCTTAGTATACTCTCCAAATATGCCGTGTTTTTTTTTTTGTTTTTTTTGTTTTTTTTATTAGGGCAGTAAATATTTTTGCTAATGTACATTCTACTTCCTGAAGACTTCCTCTCAGGAATAGAAATCGACCTTCTGTATCCACCATACCCAACTCCTTGATGAAACTCACATATTTCCCAAACCCAATTGCCATTCCTTTTGCCCGTTTTATAGGTGAATCCGTATAGTACCAAGTTGGATGATATTAAGAGTATAACCTAATATTTGGATCCTGGGATAAATGTGTCTCCTGTATAAACAGCACCTCACTAGAGCGTTGATGTATTTCCCTATTACTTCTATTTTTTTTTTTCTCCTCAATATTCCTGTTTGGGGTTGTATGGATATAAACCATTTTGAAGCAAGAAGATATCCTCTCAATACTCTTCCCTTAGCCCCCCCCCTTCCTCTTCAGCTCCCCTCCCCTTCCCTTCTTCCTCCTTCCTGTTTTTACAAAACTCTTGGCCCCAATCTAGCCCTGGAATCAGTCGTGGTTTCTTACCACTATCGATTTCCTTTCCCACGGTAAGACTTTAAACACACACACACACACACCCTAGTCTGACCCCTTGTTCTCATCATTGGGTCATACATTTGGTAGCATATTTAGCCTCCTAAACCTCCCACCTCCATGTCTCCTTTCTTTTCCCTTCTCTTACCTCTCCCTCATCCCCAACCTCCCCACCCTGGTCCTCCGTGTCTCCGTCACCTCACCATTCTTTGAGTGTTCTAGTTTCGCAAACATCTCTGCATTTGCACCATTGCACCTAGCTCTTCTGTTATTTCCTCTTTGTTTCACTTTCCATATTTCTGGGATCTTTGATCTGATTTCTTTCCAGTGTCCCTGATTGACAGTCTAGTCTGATCCCCATTAAGCCTTCCTTTTACTTCATGTTGTTTCTCTGGGGATTGGTCCTCTGGACTCTTCTCTTGGGGAGGCAGATTCTTTCTTATTGTACTTGTATTTACACTTGGTTGGGGTGTTTTGGAACCACCCCCTTTTGCTGATCTACTCTTCATGCTGTTAAAAAGTTTTCAACTGGTGACTCAAGGTAGATTAATTTACAAGTGTACTCTACTCTATACAAAAAAAAAAAAATCTAATGCCAGTTTTCCTCACTTTCAAATTTCTGCCAGGAGTTCCAGTCAGGATTTAAATTGCCTAATCCTATGCCCAGTCCGTTTTCCTCTTTTTGAGGCACTCTAAATACAGACAAGGTGACCCCTCTTATCCTTTTATAGAAAGAGAAGTCTTTACAGTCCAAACTGCCCCTCCAATTCCAACAAACTTCTTAAGACCCACACATTTATTTAAGGCATATCATAATGTTTATGGCAGATCTTGTAGGGTTACCGCTAGCTGCGGTAACTCACCATCTCTGCCCGATATCAGCACTCCACTTATGGGATTGCTTACTTTCTTCTTTTCAGTCCATTCATCTGACTGACC